TTTTAATAGTAAACGTATTTTGCTTATATCTTAAACATTATATGGGTAAACATATAAAAACCTACCATTTAATGGTTCTGTGGTTAAATGGTTGTAAATATTATAATATGTTTACATAGTTATCATTATTTATTTGTTGTAAAAATAATTATTTTTCAGAGAATCATTCTCAAATTTATAATTGTCATAAATATATAAATGTATACAGTAACTAAAATATTGATAAAATGCAATAAAAACAACAATTGTTTGGTTATGACAACAAAATATTGTTACAAAAAACATAGAATAGTTGTGCTAACCATGCCAAACCACGTTTTTTCTCTGCGTGGACTAGTCTATTATATAGTTTTTAGAGTAGTCTATAGACTATACTATTATCTAGTTTATAAGACTACTCTATGAATTATTCTTTGGACTAATATACATGTTCTATTTTATAGACTAAAGCTGTGGTAAAAATTAAAAACTACATATTTCAAGTAATGCAAAAAAAAATGTTTTCACATTTCTGAAATCTCCGTACTCGACTCTATATTGTGTCAATTCTTCATAAAGATCGGATCAGAACTTTTGAAAATATCGATATTTTTAAAACATTCTCCTGAAAAGACCAAAAAAAACAACTTATATACCTTTGCCTTTTTACCACAGAAATGTCTAATCTATATAATTGTTTATTGTCTAGCCTATAGAGTAGTCTATTTATTGGTCCTTGAACCAATTGATTGACTAAATGGACTTGTTTATTGACTAGTCTAATAAAAATCGATACAAAAGAATGGTTAATTTTGAAATAAGTATAAGTCAACATTCCAAATTTTATGCGATCACTAGCTTTTTGTACCCGGCGTTGCCCGGGATTTTAAGTGATTTATAATATTAAGTCTATAGATCAATGTATGCAAAATAACATTGACTTTGCTTTTTACCCCTGAAATTAATGCAAATATTTCCTTTGCAGTTTAATTTGTCAGAAATATTGATATTTATAAATTCATAATATTGAGTATAACTTTATACAAATTTAAAAACTTCATATCATTTTAAAATTACAAAACAAAATTCGTTCCTTTTATATGTAAATTTTTAGTTTATTAAAATAGTAATATTTAAAATGTTAACCCCCTTATTTACAAAAAAAAATTAATTTTATAAACTGTTTATAAATTAGATTTTGTATGGAAATTTTGTTTTATAAACCTTTTATAAAATAAAAATGTTGTTTGCGAAAAAGGTGGTAAATATATAAGTAGAAATTACTTTTGTTTCTTCATTTAAAAAAATAATAATTTTACCACGTTCCGTATTTCGTCCCTTTCTGATTTTTTCCCAATACATATTTCTGACATTTTAAAAGCTAAATCGAAAGTATTTAGCTTTAGAACAGACAAAAATCACTTTTTAAGGACATAACAGTAATTTTGCCCATTTTTCATCATTTCCCCCCTTTTTTACTCGTTTTGGTCAAACTTTCGCCACGGAACTTTGCTAATAAAAATTTCTTACACTTTAGATAGCCAAATCGAAAATAATTTCGCGTCAGAATATACAAAAATCGGTACCTGTTTTGTTCCAACTTTCGCAACGCAACTTTGCTAATACATATTTCTGACACTTTAGAATGCTAAATCGAAAATATTTTCGCATTAAAATAGACAAAAATAAATTTTTATGCACAAAAGTACCCATTTTCCAATTTTTGGAAAGTAATATAGCCTATTGACGCTTCCAGACATATATCTTTCTATGTTCCAAATTTGAAGAAAATTGGTTCATCCGTTTAGGCGTGATTGAAGCACAAACAAATAAACAAAGAAAGTTATAATATATAATAGGATTAAATATTCAAAATAATAAATTTAAAATCTTAATACTCAATAATATACTGAATAGTTTACTGACAGATTTACGGACTAATGAAGCCGTTTTGAGATAGTTTTCCTTCATATTGATAAAAAGTTTTAAAACAAATTGTATGGTTACAATCGGAATAAAAAGGGTCAAATGTTTAATGCTGTTTTTTACAATTTTAAAATTCCATTGATTCCTGTTACTAACTCTTATATTAAGGAAAATAAGATTTCTCTAAGAGTGTATTGATAAATATTCCTAGTAATTAAAATATTTTTATTTTATTTTTAGTTGCAACTATAAAAAGAAATTAAATTAAGATAAGACAACTATAAAATCGTATTATTGGAACATTAAAATGATCTAAACATTAGAATGAACCCAAAATGTAAGTTTGAATATTATCATAATAAATTTCGACAAGGCTTTTTGGCAAAATGAAAACAACATTAAATTAAAAGGGAGAAAATTGTGTTCGTTAATAAAATTTTGGAGCACCCTACTATTTCAGTGGGAAGAAAATAACAATAAATAAAAATGAAAAATTTAATTCTTGTAATTCAATTGGAAAAACTCAAGACAAACAACTTAATGAACAATAATATAAATTAAAAAAAAATAAAATAAAATACAAAAATAAATATTTTATATTTAAGCGGATTTAAAGCATTTATTTTCTATAAACAGGCTCATAGAAGATACATTGACAAATACACACATAAATATATACATATGTATGTATATGTATTGTCATTAGTTTGCCTGTATTTATGTACCCAGGAGTTCGGGGCGACGGTCCCGAAAATGATATATGTATAACAAATTAATTTTTCATGCTACCAAGCTTCAAAAAAGATCTTCCTTTGGAAATAAATTTTACATAAATAATTTTCTAATAAATGATGAAATCAAAATACCGAAAAACATTTCAATTACACATACATATGAATGAATTTATGTATACTGTATATATTTATAACTGGTGTATGGTACTTATTACATTTTACTTATTTTTCCAATATTTTGAAATAGATTGAAGACACATCATTTGATAGGTATTCCTTCAGCAGATTCTGGAAAATATTGTTTCAAGGCTCACTTATGTATATCGTTACATGAAATGCAAAAAGCCGTAACAACCAAAAAATTTTAAATCGACTTTTTGATTGAAAATGGTCCACTGCATTAAAATACATGCTGTTGCTAATTTTTCGAACTCTATTTTCAAACCGACTTTATGGAAATTAAATTCAAAAGGGCGGAACAACATATTAGTAATTTTCACAAGTCAGACAATGTCTGCCGTTACTGTTATATTCAAACGTTTTTATTGATGTTGGGATACAATACTTTTAAGAAAATGTCGTTTTTATATCAACAGCTTTCATTTTATTTAGTTTTTTGTCTCTCCTGTAAAATTTTTAAAAGTGTTGTTACGCCCTTTTACATTTCAGGTGACGATATGTATTATTGCATGCGGCTTACGTGTAAATGTACTTTAGGGTTATAACTTTCATTTTCATATTTTTGCGAATATCAATAGACCGAAGAAAATAAATTTTCTTTTTTCGAGATTGTTGAATATTTCAGTCAAAAATCTTAAATACCCAGCAAAAACATGGTAATGACTTGTACTTACTCAATAACTTACTTTTCAATGACTACTATATACCGTCTGTAATACTTAGAATGAGTCTAGTAATAACTTCCAAATAATATATTATGTAAGAATTTCTTTTCAGCCGTGACTTATCGTTTTCGAACTTTGTTTTTAACAAAAACGAAACTAATGAAAACTAATAATAGACGCAGTGGTCGTATGGTCTCAGAAACAAAACTACTTAAAGCTGTGATACACGGTTGTCAGATCTTACAACGTTGTCAGTAAAATGTGCAGAAAATGTCTAACAATCGTTTGAACTTGTAATGAACCGTTTGAACAGTAATGCTTTTTCTGACAACGTTGCAAAAGAAAATTTGTAAGTTGACACTGTTGTTAGACATTTTCTGAACATTTTACTGCCAATGTTGTAAAATCTAACAACTGTGTATACATATACTTAACTCTCTATTTGCCAATGTCATCCACGTGTTAAAGTAATGACTTTAAATGATATTGTGTAAGTAAATTTTAGCAATTTAAACACTTACTTTTCAATGTAAGTTTTTGATGGATTTTATAAAACAAAATAGAATTACAACCCAAAGGATAATTTTAAAGGAGTATTCGTATTCTTCATAATTGGAGCTCCAGAAAATTAAAAGCTAATAAATTTTTACTGTAACTTTACAATCTTGAGAATATACAACGGACATAATTATAAAAATGGATGTATTCAAATTATTACTAGGTAGTAAATAAATAACCTAAATTTAATCGAATTTGATATGTGCTAATTAAGATTTTTTTATTATTTAGCTATTTGCAACATTGAAAACAACTAATGTAAATTTGTACAAAAAAGAATACGAATTCATTTTATTGAAACAAAACAAAAAGCCAGTTAATTATAAATTTACACTTATTTCTTAAATGTTTAAATGAATGAAAACAAACTTACAGTTCAAAAATTATATACTAAATGCGTAACTTAAAAGGATACGGAAATAGAACAGTGTTTTTTTTAGCACAGAAAGAGAAAGTAAGGATAAAATAGAAACAAAAAATATATATAAACAATAATAAGAGTAAAAATAATAAAGTAAGGATAAAGAAAAACAAAAACAAAAAAAAAAAAAACGAAAGCGAAAAATACTTCTTAAATTTAAATATTGTAAATCCTATATGTATTTATATGAATTTATTTATTTGGATGCGTAAGTCTGTTGTTTACGTATGAGTGTTTTTGTCATTTAATATTTTACACAAAAATATAAAATACAAACAAATAAAATGAACAAATTCAAAAGGAAAGAAAGAAAAACTATATGGAAATGCTTTAAAGGACGAACAAGCACTGCTTAACAGTAAACAAGCAGAAGGACAGACGGTAAGTCAGACAGACAAGCAGACAGACAAAATTTACATCCTGGTATAATAGTCAAATGTATTTATACAAAGCTTCCGCGTGTACATACATAATTTAATGGGAGAGTAAGTGTGTGTGTGTGAATGGCAGTAGTAGTATTTCTTTTTTTGTTTTATACAAAACCGACATTGGTATTTGTGTGTGTATGTTTATGTTTTTATGTATATAAGTTTATGTGTCTTTCTTTAATCTTTTTGTTCTTTTTTTTTGTTTTTCTGGTTTTCATAAAACATAAATAAATTACAAAATATCATCTCATAAATATCTACGATGTATCCTTCTTTGAGGGGATACTAAACTTGTGTCACCATAAACTAAAGAATCATTTCCAGGCGATAAACTGCCAACACTCTCAGGGCTACCACGAATGCCTGCAATAAAAAAATAAGAAAACATAATAAATGAATGAACAAATTTACAAATAAATACTATAAGTAACTATGTAAGTACAATAAGTATACCTATACTTAAGAAATACATACGTGTGATGTTTTAAGATGGATCTATTTCTTTAGTTTGTAGAACCATATACAGGTATAAAACTTAAAGTTTATCAGTCTGTGAGAACCCAATAAAATGTTTGTGCTTTTACAGGATTTCTTATAAAATTTGGGAAATTTAAAAATTGTATAATTTAAAATCTAATATGACAGTACTATCACACGAAATGGAAATTCGAACTTATGCGGACAATTGCACTATCTGCGTAAAGTAATATCATAAGATTCATTCAAAACAAATCTATTTTTAAGGTCCGGTCTAATGTCCAACATAAAAACTCACAACAGCATTAAATAGGAAAATAAGCTAAATATACATAAATAAAAAAGAATATGGACAAATAACCGCATCCCAGGATATGTAATAAATATTCAAATATTTTCTGACAAAGTAATACGTGTAATATTTATGCATAGAAAAAAATTCACCCGAAAACAATAACGTTTCAGTTAGACGTTTATATTCGTGAGAATGTTTAAAATCTTCAGTTGCTTTTAAGTAAACAAATTTTGTGAGTGTACAGAATTCCCTAATTCTACAAAAATAAGTCCAATTAAAGATTTCTAAGGAAAACATAAGGTAAATAAAAAAATTGTAACTTACTAAATGGAGATTGAGGTGATGTTCTCAATGGTGATCCTATGGGTGAACCTGAACTACTGCTTTGCGAACAGCTTCCTTTGTTTTTCATTGACGTAGAAAATACTGAAATGAAAATTAAAAGAAAAAAATATGAATATTATTATTAGTTATATTTATTACAAATAATAAACAATTATTTAAATGATAATTGAACTTAATTATTCCAATTATAATATAAAAAATATATATATTTAAATTAAGCAGAAATATTTGTTCGCGACAGCCATAATTTTATGATTTCAGTTTTAATTAATGCAAAAAAAGGAATTTATTTAATTTAATTTAATGCTTTCAAATATAATAGATAATAATGCTTTGGATGTGCTATACATATACGAGGCTAGATTTACAACTTCTTCAAATTCTTGAACTTCTAAATAAAAAGTAATCATCATAAATCCTACCATACAACAGATTTCGGAAGGGACCTTCTTGCTTGGTTTAATTATGGATTCTATAGAGCTGGATTGAGATTAGGCGGATTTTAACTTAATTCCGATGCAATTAATATTGAGGCAATTTTTGGTTTCGGTTGCTGGGAAATGTGTGAAATAACAAACAGATATCAACCAATTTGTAATACTTGGGACTGAGGCAATTGTGTGTCCTGACAAGGTGCAGGGGCATCTTTGTAGTATTTGAGCCATCTTTTCAAAGGCCCTGAATAAGTAGCATGTATACGATTTGTAAAGAGCTTCAACTTTGACAATCATCCAGCTCCTGTTCCCAGATGTTAAAGGTGGCTGAATGATGCTTTTCGAATTCTATTTGTACTTATTACAATTCCAGGAGAAGCAGCAGTGTCGTTATTATTTAAAATATATTTATAAATTGCTTATCTCCCCGGAGGAGACAGGACTAAATGTCACTGAAGGTACTGTGTTCACAACTAATAAGACTAATACTTTGGACACTGTTAGTTTAGTTGTACTATGCAAGGATTAACTCAAGACAAGATCGACGAGGAAGGGTTGCCTCTCAGCCAATATCATGATTTCCAATTTGTTCAGAGTAGAGAGAGTCTCACATTCCTCCACTTGAAATTTCAAATCTAAAAGAAGCCCATAATTTCGTTGTGTGATTCAATTGTGACAAGTAGGACTATATGATACCCTACACCAGTTTTGAGTATATTTTAAAAGTTATTTATTTTTATGAAAAAATTATGTTGAATTTTACTTTCATTCCGATGTATTTAAGCAATTTATTGGTGAAAACGTTAGTTATCCAATAATATTGGTAATAAGTCAATTAAGGAATTTTGTAAAGGGAAGCTTGTTTGTGGGCTATGGTCAAATCAAGGCCGATCATTACAAAAATCTGCAAAAATTAATTGTATTGATTTCTGAACAATATTTGTCGTGGTTATAAACTAAAAAACCCAAATTGGAAAGCTCGTTTATATGGTGGCTACGTGAAATAATTGACCAATTTCAAACATTTTCAATAGGCTTCGCCCTTGGGCCGAATGGTATGGTTCATTAAAATATCTCAAAAACTGCTGAAGGAAGACTCAGAAAATGATTTTGAGGCGATCGGTATACTTTAGATGTATGATCAATATTTTTTGTGCGTTACAAACATCGATGCAAACGAAAAATATCGACACCGCTATGGTGGTGTAGGGTATAAAGAATTATTTACTTTTATATGTAAAGATATTAAATAATTTCAAAAATAACGTTTCTAAAACACAGTTTATTTTACTTTTAAATTACTGAATTTTTTTAATAATAAACAAGTAAACAAGTAATATCAATACTATAAAATTTTAATTTATTTCATTTTCCCGTTTATAACGGGAAACGCTAAACGAAATAAACACACAAAAAAACAAAATACACAAGGCAGTAAACCCAACAGACATCCAAACATACGAAACGAAATACACAAAAAACAAAATAGACAACGCAATGAAACCAACAGACATCCAAACATACGAAACTGAATACACCAAAAAACAAAAACAATATACACAAAGCAATGAAACATACGAAACGAAATACTCCAAAAAAAAAGCAAAACAAAACAACGCAATGAAACCAACAGACATCCAAACATACGAAACTGAATGCACCAAGAAACAAAAACAATATACACAAGGCAATGAAACACACATTTTAAATAGCGATCTTCTCGAAAGCATGTCTAACAGAATTATTGAAGATTCGGTTCTCGCCGATATCTGGGGTCCTCTAAAAACTGATTTCAACAAACACACAGACGGACAGACAAACGGACTTAATCAACTCCGCTACCTATAAGGATCCAGAATATATATACTTTATGGGGTCGGAAAATTATATTATAGAAATTACAAACGGAATGACAAACTTATATATACCCTTCTCACGAAGGTGAGAAAAAAATTGTGTTCAATACCTTTTTTTCTATGTCAAATATTTTTTTTCAAAATACGATCATAACATATTACTTGAACATTATTTAATGAATCAATTTTACAATTAAATTTTCTAAATTTTCAGCATTTTTTAATAATCCTTTTTTATTTAAAAATACACTTAAACAGTCGCTTTGTATGAAATTTTGGCAAAAAATTCTAAATGCTTTTTTTTCGTTCTTATTTAAAGTCAACCTTAATAAGTAATGACACAAATAAATGTAACAAATTAATATTGACATTTTACAAAACTACTTATTAAAACTGTAATTTTGCTTCTAAAAAAAGATATAATGTAAATTTCTATTTACCAAATTACAAAAAATGTATAAAAATAAACAATTATGATGTTTATAAAATGTACACACATCATAAATCTGACACTTCAATCACAATGTGTCTGTTGCAAAAAGGGGGTGAAAAAAACTAAAGTGCTTGTGAGTGTTGTTTATAGTAGAAATATTTTTTTAGCATTTCGTTTTGTAAAAAAAAATCCCTCTCTACTCCTCCATGTTTACACTAAAGACACACTGTATTTATGTAATTAATTTGCATTTAACCTCAAACGACTTTATAAAATAATATTTAAAAAAGTCAACAAATACACCCATGGTAAATACATACATATACATACATATATTTAGTATCATCTGTCTATCCATCCATCCTTCCAGCTATGCATTTATTCATCCATCCATTTATACCTCTACCTACCGAACCAGCCAAGCATCCATTTATTCATCCTATAACAGCAGTATGAGCAGATACATTGTGGGTTGTTATAATTAAAATGTAGGTTACACGCTAATGAATTTAAAACATACCGAGATTTTGAAAAAAAAAACACCTTTAAAAAAATACAAGGCAAAAACGAAAACCACTTGAATATCAACATGGTGTACCCAAAATAAAACGAAAGGAAATAGTGCTCTCTCGTGCCACATACTCAATCTGAACTAATGTTTTTACTTTTTTTTTGTGTATTTTATCAATAAATCCTAAGGCATAAGAGGTAAAAGCAGTTCCTGTACCGATATTAGCAACAACAATAAAAATTTTAACACTGGTTGCCAGAACTAAATCTGCTGCTGAGTGAGTTGGCTAAGGAGTATGAGAACGATAATACAGACATTTGTCAGTTCAATCGGTTAGTACCATTTTGTTATCGTTGTTGCTTCACTTTGAAATATGATGAGTACTAGATATAGAGATAAAAATGATTTCAAGTGAGCAGTTGATTGGCATGTTGGTACATATTCAGAATCAATAGAAAGAAATGTTTATAAAAGTTGTTGTTAATTTTAACTCATTCCAACTAATATCTCTATAAAGTTTGTAGTATAAACAAGTGATATGTACATAAAACGTTTGAAGTACATATCACTCATGGCATAATCTAAAAAAGTCGTTTCTAGAAAAATGGCTTTGAATGTTTAATGATATTTTATTAAACTTAAATAACTTTTAAGCAAATCAAAGGATTTGAAAAATTTAACCTGATTCAGATAGTAGAGATTAATGTGTTTCTCATCGATTGAAATTTAGTCTAGATGAGAAACACATTAAATACTTTATTATGACGCATGTTTTGTAGCCCTCAGTTCAAAAAAAAAAACCCGAAATTCGGATTATACCAGACTTGTAGTAAATCAGCAATATATACTATACATATCTCAATTTCATAGAATTATTCAAGAAACACCAAATTTTTACTAAATTATTTAGATTTCTTATTTAATTACACAGGCCAACGAAACGAAGGTTTTTAAAAACTTTTAAAACCAATTCGACTATTTTTGACGTATTTTTAGCTGCTGGAACCGAATCTGATATCTGTTTTTTCTCTATCACCCACCATTTTATCGCAAAATTGCATGGAATATTTTGTTTATATATACGGACATACGGTTAATTTATTTATTATTATTTTTTTCATTATAAATATAGGACTTTATTATATATTTTTCCTAAGTTCCATTTAAATCGGATGAAAACAAAATAATATTTTACTATGATTTCAAAAGAATTTCCCAATATTGTATAGCTTGAGTTTGACCCTCACAGTTTATATTCTCAAAAGGTTTTATGTAAAATGGATAACAGTAAAGAATTAAGGCTAATATTCAAAACTTTTACCAAAAAAATAGTTTTTTTCGAAATCCTCAAAATTTAAATCGTAGGTAACACTAATCTATGAGAGATATCGACCTAATTTCTTTACTATTTTATTCCCTTCTTTATTGTACATAAGTCATATGGGCTTTTTCTTAACAAAAAGTTTAAAACTGCAGTTATGAAGCTACTGTCTGAAAAGCTTCCATTTATGACTATTGGGGAATAGTTATGGTTCACACAATCTAATTTAGATAAAAACTCGCATTTAAGTTAATACGAATGTATTTAATGTAATGACATAGTTTTATTAGAATATTTTCCAAAATATGATCTGAAGTATTTGTAAAACCTTCTACAATTGTTGACTGATTATTGTGTTTTATATCTTATTGGAACGAAACTTGAATATAAGTGTATGTATTCCAATTATTTGATTTTAAAATCTAAAAATATTAATTAAGTAGAAATATTTTATAGCCGTGGGATCACCAGTTAACGTAGTCTTATCGCCCGAAAATTTCCCGAATGCACTTTTATAACTTAAAGT